TAAAGTTTAAATGCTCTGTACATAACTTTTTTGGACACAATGGTGCTTCAAACTACTTTAGTACGACTGGGGACACATAAGACTACTAAAATAAATTTAAAAAACCGGACATTTCTGTTAAGATTCGAAGTTATTAGCATTTAATTGACCAATTTTGGGTTTTTGTACTAAAAATAAAAAACGCGCTAGAAAATAAATATGTTTGTATGAATATGTTCTACATGGGCTAGTGTATCACCCCCTTAAAGGTTTGCACCCAGCTACCAAACACCCTGTATAACCAAATGGAGGCAACAACATTCTCTACATAGATATTTTCATGATCGTCAAACAGGAAAGCTCAATAATTAGTTAACAAAAAATCTCAAATCTGCATTTTCCAGAAAATCTATATTTTACAAAGGAATCGTTGCATATAATGAATTACCAAATGACGTTAAACAATTTTCCAACACAAAAAAATTTTGTTTCATCAATTTACATAAACATATTTGTTTGTTTTTTTTTTGTTAATAATCAAATCAGTTCTGAAGTAGCTCCCTGTGAAGTTATACAGTGTCATCCCCAAAGTATGCACCATATGGGAAACTCACTTAGATGGCCATGACTTCAAATCTAGATGTATTTTTCAATGCTGAACAACTTTTCTAAATAACATTTCCCGAAATTTTTCAAAATAAAAGTACTTTACTCTTGTATCAAAATCAAATATTTGAAGGCTCCTCGTATATTACGTGTGATTTACTTTATTTTTTTGGTGCATGTTTAGTTTTAGGAGATGCATAAACTTTTATCAAGAATAACTTTTTGTCGAAAAAACCTTAATAAATAAGTTTTCCATACTTTGGGGATGACACTGTATATTTATGTATGGATATTTTTTGTATAAATGATTCCCTGTATGAACCATTGTAGTTTTTCGGGAACAAACAAACAAATAAATAAATACATAGACAAAGTATGGTGAAAATCTGTACAATTAATTATTTTTTGTCATTCCAGAAGTACTCGGGAAAAAAAATGTGTTATTTCAAATAATTCACAATCGACGTTTCTTCTATCAGTCACTGAAGGAGAAATTAAAAACTAGGTATTTTTTTTAACACTTGTGGTGCTTGATTCAAGTATTTGTTACATAACGAATAACTCATTCAAACATGAAATTTTACTGCATCAATTAAAAATAGCTCTATAACATCAATATATAAAAATGGAGATTCTGAACCGTTTTAAAATGGTTAAATTAAAGGGAGATTTTTTTATAAAGAAAGGTTTTGGTTTTCTACTTCTCCATCTTTATTATACAGAGGTCACTTAAAAGATTTGCGACTCATTTGAGAGTAAAGAAATTCTTCTTGGGATATTCTTAAATCTTTCTAAATCCTGTGAGTGCCTTGATCATATTTATTTATTGAAAAAACTTGAAAAACATGGAATTAGAAGACCGGTATGGAAGCGGTTCCATTCGTATTCATCAAATCACCAACAAAAAATTAAAATTATGAAAAATGGGCAAAGATTTGAGTCAGATATCAAATATTATGGGAAGTATAACAGGTCCCATTCTATTTGTAACCCCTCGTCACGTGTTTCGATCACCAAGTGACCATCTTCAAAAGGAGTTTAATCTTCCTCTTGAAGATGATCACTTGGTGATCGAAACACGTGTCCGGGTGTTAAAATAACGATTTGGTATTGAGAATAAACTGCATTAATATTCATTACTTCACCAAAGGTTCCAAACAGTGCATCACAAGCAGTTATTTTAACAAAAAAATCATTGAAAATCATATATGCGGCAAATTTTTAATATTCCTCAAAATCTGACATATTCTAGGGTTCCTGATATGTTTGCAATTAAGAAAGAGTAATACAAACTATTTTCAAACTTATCTACTGTCATTCCTGTCAGAAGGTATTTATTTAACATAAGAATCAATTCCTGGACGGAGGAGCAAATCAAACTTAGCCTTTACAAGGTAAAAATTTCATGTTTTCCTGTTCATACTAACACTATCATAACGTTCTGAGCCAATCAGTTAACAGAATTCAAAAAGTTACAATTTATAAAATGTGCACGTACCTAAACTCATATTATCATCCAAATCTAGATCCGGCATAGATAAGAACACCTCTTTCTCTTTAAATGAAAGAGGCTTGTTGCTGTAATCAGCTCCCTTCACAACGCTGTTTATCAAACTATCAACCAATATATCATTGGTATCAGAAGAAAAATTCTCAGGGTTATTGAGGAGTTTGTCAATTTCCATATTCATTTCGGTATTGATACAGGGTATATCATCGAAACTGAAATTCATATTTTCTATGGTCTCCTTCAAATCCAGAAGCGGATCCTTGTCAACATTTTCCAACTCATTCATTTTCTTGTCTTTCACTCTTTTGCGTTTGACGCTCTCGTAACTGTATTCAAAATCGGGATGGAATCTTTCAATGTGCCTCTTCACAGAATGACTGTGTTTCATTTTCTTATCACATTTTGGGCAAGAATACGGTTTTTCTGTTTCGGTGAAGAAACTCTCGAAGGTAATGTTCACTGCGTGGCACAATTTTATATGTCTTTTTAAATTTTTGTTTTGCTTGAAAGCCGCCGGACATTCTGGACATTTCAATCCTTTCTCTTTATGGGTCTCCATGTGATGCTTCAACAGTTTCTTTGACTTCACGACTTTTTTACAAATTTCACATGTTGCCTGTCAAAAATAACTATAGATCAGGAAGGGACAATAGCAATAGGAGATATAAGAGTGATGAAAATGGTTCTACAACATTTACCTATCGTTACCTGTGTTCTTGTCTTCTGCCTTGACGACAGAAATCAAAGAAATAAAGTTAATAACGTCATCTTTTTCTCAGACGCAATTCATTGAAAATGACCCAACAGTAAAAAAATTATGGTATTCACATATATTTGATTTTTTTTCAAGTATTCGATGTGCCTCCCCAAAGTATGCACCATATGGGAAACTCATTTATTAAGGGTTTTTCGACAAAAAGTTATTC